ATGGATCCGTAGAGAATACATAAAAAATTTCCGCAGAATTATTTTCTATTTTTTTGAAACTTTTAAATATGATTTTACTTTTTTTTCAAGAAAAGGCACCATGGTGCCCGAGCGCACAAACTTCGCACTCGCGGCTTATGGCCTAACTTAACCCGTCAAAAGAACTGGGCCGAACTGTACAGGCCTCTATTAAGGTGCCTCGCTGGAGGTCCTCTTGGGCTTGACGGGCCAAGCCTTGTGCCTTGCGGCTCAGCTTTGCCCTTCACTCGCCACTGCCATTTTTGTCTAAAAAAAAGAACTCGCCACTGCTTTCCTCCTCGTCTCACTCAAACCATGCCTCCGCCAGCGCCTTCCCGCCTCCTGGCCGTCCTCTCCGCCCGCCCCCCTCCGCCGCTCCGCCGCCTCCTGCAGCTCCACGCGCACCTCCTAACCGCCGGCCTCATCTCCTCCCCGTCCCCACTCCCCTTCGCCTCCAGCCTCGTCGTGGCACTCGCCCACTCCGACGACCCGCGCGGCGCGCCCCGCCCGCTCCTCCACGCGCTCGCCCTCCTCGCCTCGCTGCCCTCCCCGCCCGACTCCGCGCGCCCCTACAACGCCGCGCTCCGCGCCCTCTCCCTCTGCGCGCACCGCGGCCTCGTCCCGCGGTGCCTCCCGCTCTACCGCTCGCTCCTCCTGTCCGCCCGTCCAGACCACCTCACCTTCCCCTTCCTGCTCAAGGCGTGCGCGTGCCTGCAGGAGCGGGGCTACGGCGACTCTGTTCTGGGGCACGTCTTCAGGCTCGGGTTCCACGCGGACGTCTTCGTGGTGAACGCCGCGGTGCACTTCTTGGCGGTGCGCGCGTCCATGGCGGAGGCACGCAGGCTGTTCGATCAAATGCTTGTCAGGGATCTGGTATCGTGGAACACGCTGATTGGCGGCTATGTGCGAAGGGGCGTACCCGGGGAGGCGTTGGAGTTGTTCTGGAGGATGGCAGAGGATGGGACGCTGGCACCTGATGAGGTGACGATGATTGGGGTCGTGTCAGGGTGTGGGCAACTGCGGGATCTGGAGCTTGGGAAGAGGCTCCATCGATATGTGGAGAGTAATGGAGTGAGGTGCACTGTGAGGCTGATGAATGTGCTAATGGATATGTATGTCAAATGTGGTGATTTGGAGCGGGCCAAGTCTGTGTTCGAGAGGATTGATGGCAAAACGGTTGTTTCATGGACAACCATGATTGTTGCCTATACAAAGTTCGGGTTGATGGACGATGCGAGGAGGGTGTTTGATGAGATGCCTGAAAGGGACGCATTCCCGTGGAATGCGCTGATGGCTGGTTATGTGCAGTGTAAGCAGGGCAAGGAGGCTCTTGGGTTATTTCATGAGATGCAGGAAGCAAAGGTGAGTCCTGATGAGATTACCATGGTCAATCTTTTATCGGCTTGCTCGCAGCTTGGAGCGCTAGAAATGGGTATGTGGGTTCACCATTACATCGACCGACACCGGCTTTCACTCAGTGTTACACTAGGCACAAATCTAGTTGACATGTATGCGAAGTGTGGGAACATCGAGAAGGCCATCCATGTTTTCAAAGATTTAGCGGAGAAAAATGCGCTCACGCGGACAGCAATGATATGCGGTTTGGCAAATCACGGACGTGCTGATGAGGCAATACAATACTTCCGGAGAATGATAGAGCTTGGATTGCAGCCTGATGAGATTACATTCATAGGGGTTCTGTCTGCATGTTGTCATGCTGGCCTGGTTAAAGAAGGCCGCGAGTTTTTTTCCTTACTGGTCTCAAAGTATCATCTTGAGAGGAAAATGAAACATTATTCATGTATGATAGACTTGCTAGGCAGATCAGGTCATTTAGATGAAGCAGAACATCTAGTAAACACCATGCCAATGGAGCCTGATGCAGTAGTGTGGGGTGCTCTCTTCTTTGCTTGTAGGATGCACGGTAATATTACTTTGGGTGAAAGGGCAGCAATGAAATTAGTAGAGCTTGACCCGAGCGACAGTGGAATATATGTGTTACTGGCTAACATGTATGTAGAGGCAGGAATGAAGAAGAAGGCTGATAAAGTGAGGGTGATGATGAGGCACTTGGGAGTGGAAAAAGTTCCTGGATGTAGTTGCATCGAGCTAAATGGGGTGGTTCATGAATTTATTGTGAAGGACAAGTCACATACAGACAGTGATGCTATCTATGACTGCTTGCATGAGATCACGCAACAAATAAGGCACACTGCAAAAATGATTGACATTTATGCAACTGGTTGATGCCTGCAAGATGTGATATGTTTGATTATTTTGCGCAACTCAATCATCTCGTGAGTTATGCCAGGCAATGTGCTAAGATAAGTAGGATTTGCTGATGTCCATCAAACTTTGGGCCATTACATCAGCATTATGGCTCTTTTACAGCTTACCAGTCTATGAAAATAGCAATTCCAGTGCAGATGCTGAAGGCAGTATCTCAATTCAAAAGGTACTGCTGCGCCTTACAAGCCAAAAAAAAATTAAGCTTGTCAAAAATTGGATTGGTGCTTAGCTGCCTTTTTTCTTATTTCCGTACCAGTCCTTTGAATTCTGTTAGGCCGGTAAAGAGAGCAGGAAGCAGATCCATCTGTGAAGTCTTCAACTTTGTAAGTTACCCTTAAACTTTTCCTTTTCCTACTCACAGTTGTATCTGATACTGATTAAATTTGCATATGCTAGCCTCACGATTTAAGTTCGTGAAAAATATATTTTGCAAATGACTCTGTCAAATACATCACCAAATGGACCCCCTAGGGAAGTTGCAAAAGATGACTCTTATGCTAAACCAAAAGAGCACTGTAAGCATTCAGTAATTTGTAGCAATATACAATTTGTTGCTTTAAATAAGCACTATTGACAAAAAAGTCATTTCAATATCTGAATATCTGACTATAGTTTATGATTCATCAAGAGGGATAAAACAGAATATAATATGTCATGGAACGGTGACGTCACTTAGAGTCTGGAAAAGTAGCATCTCTTCTCCTGAACCTCTAGCCATTAAGCCGAATTTGAATCTCCTGAGAGCCTTCAGGAAATCTTCGTGGTCCAACAAAACTTTTTTTTTAATGTGAGCATAACACTAAGACAAGTCTACTAGTATAGGATCCCATTGTATTCAGCCATGTGTTGAAAGAATCAGCAAAAACATTTATGCCAATTGGCATCAGACTCCTTATTTTGTCTATCATATGTTCCATATCGAAAAACATGTTATGCCATATGCCAATGTTATGTCCTCATCTAGTGAAGCAGCCAAACTTTTGCATTTGATCTTTCTTTAATGTACTGTCACAGATTCAAATCTGCAGAGAATACGAAATGTCCCATATAGCTAATTGATAGGGTTAGCAATGAGGGTGATAACATTTCCAGTGATACTGGACTTTAGGTGGTACAACGAATGGATGGCACATGGTCTGTTTGATCTTGATCTTGCGTGTAGGAATATGGTCACAACCTGGTGATATTCAGGTCAATGGTTCAGGTCCCCTATTGATGAATATGCAGAAACACACTCTTTCCTTATTTCTGTAATAATTGAACTAACCGTTTCTTCCTCTCCATATTTTCCTAGCACCTCCATATCCGGAGCATGAAGCGTCGCTTGCTTCTGTTGGACCTGGACCCTCTCAGAGTGTGATTCAATGTCTGCTGACAGCCTATTTCTCGGCAAATGCCAAGAAGATTGGACGAGCCAAGGTCAATTTGGTTAGTTCATTGTCTAAACTTCTATAATCGCTAGTCAATAAAGAAACTCCATGCCAGTTGTTCTGCAATTGCAGCCCGTAAGGATTGGTTATTAAAGTAGTGTGCTTTCCAAAATAATATTATTTGAGCAGCAGCAGATTGTAGGATTGTATTGTTGTTTGAGGGCTAAACTTACGATCTGGAATGCACATCAGTAAGCTATCCATATCACTATAAGTCAGACAAAGATAAGTAAGTATCTCCTTGGGATACACACATCAAGCTCAAATTCCGCTAGTGTTGCTCAATGTTGCTGGTTCCGATTCCTTCCATTTTTCTTGACTGAACCAAGCTTCACATAACAGCTTCAAATGAATGTGAAAATGTGTGATAGAATAAGGAACAAGAGTCCAGTACTGGATTTCAGAACGTTGCTTTGAATTTCTCAAATTTGCAGGTAATATCTAATATGTACTCACTAACTCGCTAAGTACGCCATATATTATTCAAAGGTCTGTATATGTTAGACAAGGTGGGACAGCCCAATCGGCCACCTCCCCCACTACACTATTGTACTCGAGTGGGTGGATCTGAGATGTCCAATCATTACTAAAAATAATATCCTGATACAATATTGTTTCATGCAAAATTGGTATTTTTGCATCTATGGAGTAGCTTCTCACACAAATGGGCAATGCCCCTTCTGAATATTTTAGCCTTTCATAAAAGAGCTGGAGCTACTTAAGCATCAAGGTAACCCTATTTCTCATACAATTTATCCACCTTTGATGGCCCCTGCTTAAATACACTTGTGCAGCATGCAAAAGCAACCTATGGCACATCATAATCTGCAAATCAATACCAGGCTCATCACCTATGGTTACACCACTACCAATACAGTCGACCCAAGCACGTTTACCACAGTTCTGTGAGCTTGATGACACAATAAACGGCTGATTCTTTTCTCTCCTTAGGTTAGATAGAAAAGTAAAGGTTTCCTTTATTTTTAACTATGTACATCATACTCACAACTAAAAATGTAGCTCCCCAGGTGATCAGCACATGTGCACCAATTTAGGCATCTCCAACTCCAAGTACTACAGCATGTAGTTCAGTTTATGTACATTTTCTGAATGCATCATCACTAATAATCAGTAAAATATACATTGTGATTCATCCTTCGAACTCACATTTCTGGATCTCAATGTCATTTGATTAAGTATTGTGATCAACTTTGCAAGAAATGTTTTGCAGCTTCCAGTTAGGCAACAACTTCATTGGCTTCTTTAATTAGCCCTTGCGTTTCTTTCGGCCTGACTGCCTGCAAATGTTTCCCTGAAGCTATCCACTGCATCATCTTTCTGTATATGGTGTACGGCAGGCGTCAAGGAAATGAAGGCAGCAAACATACAAGGGATGAAAGTGGAAACAAAGGAAGAACATGAAAAGCGTGCTAGTGCATACCAACTCTGTGAACAAAGGCACAATTTTCCCAATCCTGTGGTTTGATGGTATGAGATCCCAAGGCCTTTTCGCCTTGTCACTCTCCCCCTTTTCATCGGCAAAAGAAATATGCTCATTCGGACAGAGATTCAGCTGTTGCAAGACCTGGGCCAGAGAACAAGACATTATAGATTTGCATGTAAACATTGCCTGAATGCAAGTAATTCATAAGTTGGTGACAAACATCTTTTGAGAAGGACGGCATGAAAGGCTCTAGCAAACAAGCGAGAAGGTAGACAACTCCAACTGAAGTTTTCATCACAGTCGCGCAACTAGCTGGATCTTGTTGGTAAAGCTTCCAAAATTGACTCTCCTGCATATCCAGGTAGAAAACCGGAGTCAAATCCCGTGCAAGTTAAATGATGCAGAGTAGAAATGAAATCAGCAAAGGAAGGAACAAGAGCTTACTTGAAGGTAAGCATTTCCCTCACTAGAGATGGCCATTGCAATTTTCAGCCCTTGTTTTAGTTTGACCTGTTAACGGCAATGTTTATGTCACATAAATGCTTCAGATCTATGGTACTTATTCAGATTTATTCACTAGTACAATGCGGAGTTCACACAGTTCAGGTTAATGCATTACCTTGTCCATTGCATCAGTATACTGCTGAATCAAATTACCAACAGTTTCTGCTAACGACTGACTCAATGGATGTATATCAGCATTAGGTGCTTCAGGTATGATGGAGCCGTAGCCAGCTCCTGCAGGAACAATTGAAAAAAATTTTATCAGCACCACCAACAAAGAAAATTTAAAAGAGAATGTTCGTCTTCTAACCCTCTGGTTTTGCGATAAAGCTTAGCACTCGATAGATGAAGTTGCCCAAATTCTTTAGCAGCTCGTTGTTATGCTTTATCTGCAAACCTCCCCATGTGAAAACTGCATCTGATGCCTGAAAGTTTTACAAGATAGACCAAAATGAACAATCTTACATGCATAGAGGTTTAATATAGATAATTCAATTTAACCAAAACCTAACCTCAGGACGATTACTAAGCAAGTAGTATCGCCACACATCAGCAGGAATATTTGTGGCTTTGGCGTCATTGCCAAAGACTCCGATGCCCTTAGTTTTCGAGAACTTTCCTGTGCATGATAACAGAGTGAACAAAAAAAAGATGTCCAAGAATAAATAATGGCCTGAACAAAACCTGTGCGATACCTGATTCATAGTTGAGATATTCAGTCACACTAATATTCTTCATCAGAGTCCAGTTTTCACCAGTACCAAGTAGAGCAGAGGGAAACATGACCTGTAAAATTGTTACATATGCAGCAAAATAAGATTTCTATGAAAAGATAATATAAGAATTGCCTGCTACATATCTGTATGCACTTGCACATATACTCCCTCCGTCTCGAAATATAAGCCCTTTTAGAGATTTCAATACGGACTACATATGGATGTATATAGACATATTTTAAAGTGTAGTCCATATTAAAATCTCTGAAAGGTATTATATTTAGGAACGGAGGGAGTAGAATATATTGAAGCTTGTTAAGCAGCGTTGTACATAGAGAGGGTATTTGTATACTGGAAACTCCCAAGTTGGCAAAAGAATCTCACCGTGTGGAATGGGACGTTGTCTTTGCCCATAAACTGATACAATTCGACATTCTCTGGGTTCTTCCACCACTTTTCCCACTCGGGCGTGTAGCAGGCCGTGATGGAAATATATCCGATCGGCGCATCGAACCAGACATAGAACACCTGAACCCATTCATCACATTACTAACATTAACACAAACATGGGAGATATAAACTTTCCCAAATGAATCTCTGCATGCTCAGATGGATGGCAAACCTTATCCTTGTACTTCTCATGTGGGACAGGGATGCCCCATTTCAAATCCCTGGTGATGCAGCGAGGCCTCAGCCCTTCCTTCAACCAGGCATCCGTGATGCGAACTGCGTTCTGGCTCCATGATCCGGTCGCCGAGGCCTCGTCGATGTACTTCTCCAGTTTCTCCTCCAACAAGGGAAGCTCCAAGAACAAGTGGTCCGTATGGCGGACGACCGGTATGCCCTCACAAACCTGGAGAATGGTAACAGTTAAGCACATGGAAGATTGATACGCGGTGAGAAGAGCCAAATAGAACTAGAGAAGCTCCTCCTGCCTTGCATCTGGGATCAATCAGCTCGGTCGAATTCAGCAGCCTCCCGCATCTGTCGCACTGATCGCCCCTCGCGGTGTCGTTGCCGCATCCCTCCACGGGGCATGAGCCCACGACGAATCTGTCCGCCAAGAATCTTTGGCATGATTCGCAGTAGAGCTACAATAGATGGACAGAATAATTTAGGCTATGTCTAGTGTGAGGAAAAGAAAACGCAGGGAATGAACCTGTGACAACATAAAACAGATAACCGGCAAACCTGCTGCATTGTGTTCTCTGAGAGCCAGTTGTTGTCCAGCAGCTTGTGGAAAATCGATTGGCAGATCTCTGTCTGCTGCGGGGTGGATGTCCGGCCGAAGTGGTCGAAGCTGATGTTGAACCACTCGTACACTTCCTTGTGGATTGCATGGTACCTGCATCAGTCAGTAGGGGGGTGGATTTTCAGAAGCTATGCAACACAACACAGATGTAGTTCCCCTCTTTATTCCCTGATGATGAAGCAATTTGGTTGAGTGCAATAATTTAATTTAATCCAAATTGCAGTTCTACTTGCAAACTTGATAGTGCAGCACGAACCATCCATACCGGTCCTCCAATACGAATAAACCAAAACCTCAACCTCAATTTGCACAAATATCAGCTTCCGACGATACTATAATCTCCACTAAATATCACACTGTCACGTCTCAGGCTATGGGCGAGATGTAAACAGTGAAGGTGCCATCCAGCAAAGAGAGAAGATCGGCGACGGCGCCTGGTGGTGTGAGTGAGTTGTGTGTGTGCTGAGTGGTCCGTAAAAGTCGTGTGGCTGTAACTGAAGCAAACAAGTCTGAAGATTGAAATCAGTTCTGAATTCTCCTCCTACTCTTCCCCTTTGACTATGAGTCGTCGTCTTCTTCCTCACGCAATCAAGGGGATGTCACACACACACACGCACACACACACACAGAGCAACGGTTAGCCAAACACTCCAAGCCAAGACAAGCCAAACTACAGCATCATTTAGCCTACTAGGCTAGTTCATCATGTAATGATGCGTATAATAGTATCGAAAATCAAGTGGTGCGGGCGCTCACTTGTCGCAGATCTCCAGAGGGGAGCAGCCCTCCTCGATGGCCTTGTTCTCGGTGGCGGTGCCGTACTCGTCGGTGCCGCAGACGTAGAGCACGTTGTGGCCGCGGAGGCGGCAGTAGCGCGCGAAGACGTCGGCGCTGAGCACGCAGCCGATGATGTTGCCCAGGTGCGGCACGTTGTTCACGTACGGCAGCGCGCTCGTCACCAGCACGTTCCGCCGCCCCGCCACCGGCACCTTCGCCTCCCCCTTCCCCGACGACATCGCCGCGCCGGCCGATATAGAACGCGGAGTGGTGTTTCTGTGTGCGTGTATTTCTTCCTTTCAGCGCTTGTCCGATTGGTCGCGGGTTGCATTACATATATATTCTCTGGTGGATGCAAAGCTGACGCGTTCGACGGCGACGTCTTCTTGACGGCCAAGGAAGCTTGACTTTCTATTACTGTGGGTTTGTTCGTTTTTTTAGCAACTACTGTGGGTTTGTTCGTGGTACGCCAGTTGCCTAAACTAGGACTGGGCCTTCCGAGGCCCAAACTGCATAATTAAAGGGACGAAACGACTTAAGTTTTTTTTAGGGGTACCAAAACGACTTAAGTGCATCGTAAATCAGGGGCGCCCCCAGTCTGGCAGCCCACACCCCCCGCGCGGGGCGGGCGCCCCCGTTTTATTTCCTTTTGTTTTGGCCAGTGCTAGGCGTAAGCCGGCTGATCAGCCGCCTCTCTAGCCGCCCGATTAGCTTGCGCTACACCGTTGGATGGAACTTTTGGGTTGCCTAACTTTCACATACTCCATGGTCAGTGCTAGGCGTAAGCCGGCTGATCAGCCGCCTCTCTAGCCGCCTGATTAGCTTGAGCTACACCGTTGGATGGAATTTTTGGGTTGCCTAACTTTCACATACTCCATGGCCAGTGCTAGGCGTAAGGCGGCTGATCAGCTGCCTCGCTGGCCACCCGATTAGCTTGTGCTACACCGTTGGATGGAACTTTTGGGTTGCCTAATTTTCACATACTTCATCGTTTCCACACGCACATCTGTTCGTGCTCCCATCGACACCCAACCATCCCGCTGGCGATTCTCAAAAACAAAAACAAAAAACCATCCCACTGGCTCATAAAAAATAGATGTCATTGTCTCGTCGTGTAGCGCTGCCATTGCAAAAGTGTCGTCATCATGGCAACATGGCAACAACAGCAGCAGCCGCCTTCCCCAAGCAACATGGCCGTCCAACGCCGTCGTCGTCGCAGCAGCACTGCTTTTGCAGAGCGACGTCTTCATGGCAGTAGTAGCAGCCGCCATCTCCAAGCAGCATCGCCGTCCGCTGCCGCCGTCATCGCAGCAGCGCTGCCAATGCAGAAGCGATGTCGTCATGGCAGCAGCAGCAACCCCCGTCCCCAAACAGCATCGCCAACCACCGTTGTCGTCGTGGCAACAACACTGGCATTGCCCATTGCAGAAGCGATGACGTCATGGCAACAACACTAGCTGCCGTCTCCAAGCAGCATCGCCGTCCGCCGCCGTCGTCGTGGCAACAGAGTTGCTGTTGTAGAAGCGATGTTCGTCATGGCAGCGACAGCAGCCGCCCTTCCCAAGCAGCATCTTTATCCGCCGCCATCGTCATGGCAGCAGTGCCACCCTTGCGGAAGTGACGCCGTCATGGCAGCAGCAGCAAACGCCGACCTCCCCAAGCGCATGACGACGATGGCGGAGCTGCATCGCAGCACGAGGATGCTGCGATGTAGCGCTGACAGCCACGGTGGATGCTGCGATGCAGCGTCAGCGGCGACGAATGCTGTGATGCAGCACCGGCCACGACGGTGGCAATGGCAGAAGCTGCTGTAAGGACATTTTTATCCTTTAGTAGTTTTGGTGATTGATGACAATGGTTTTGCGGACTAATCGTGTGCATTGAGCTTTTCAGATAGATCATGTCGGAGCACAAGACGATTTGGTGCCCCTCGAAGACTTTTGAAGACGGCGTTTCTCTACGTTTATTTTCGGTGGATTTGAGTCATAGGAGAGCCGTACTATTAAGAGGAGGTCCGCGTTGGAAAGGTTTGGGTGGAATCTCACGTACACATGTTCCGTTTGCACCCTCTTTCCTTTGGCTCTTTGGAGCTTCCTCCGTCTCACCGTATCTCTGCAGAGTGAAGGCTTCCTAGTGTTGCTGTTCAAAGGGTAGCGGTAGTACTGCTCCCCAGAGCGGTACTACCGCAGGCCCTTGCGGTAGTACTGGGCCCTGGCACGGTAGTACCGCAGGTGCCCACGGTAGTACCGCTCCTCCTGAGCGGTAGTACCGTGAGCTCTGGCCAGGCGCTGCTGCGCAAGCGGTAGTAGGGGCGGATGTAATTTTTTACATCCGCGCCCTACGCGGTAGTACCGTGCTCCGGCGCGGTAGTACCGTGATGCCTGATCAGGCACAGCGGCACGAAGCGGAAGTAGGGGCGGATGTAATTTTTTACATCCGCGCCCTCCACGGTAGTACCGCACCTGGTTTGCGGTAGTACCATGTCAGACTTTTGCATAGATATATTCTTAGCGGAGGTAGTCACGGATGTATTTTTTATATCCATGCCTATAGTGCCTGGACCATGCCTGCCTTGCGGAAGTACCGCATGGGGTCGCGGTAGTACCGCGCCAGCGGTTCTACCGTCCCCTGTCGGTGCTCATCAGAACGGGTCCAGGCCCTGCCGTGCCCACGGTAGTACCGCAAGCCTATGTGGTAGTACCGCAGGCCCGTGCGGTAGTACCGCTCCTGGTGTGCGGTAGTACTGCGGGTCGCAGGCTGAGTAGGTGGGTAACGGTTGGAATTGTCCCGTGACTATAAAAGGGGTGTCTTCTTCCTCTAGTTGACCATCTCTTCCATCCCTAAGCTCCATTGTTGCTCCAAGCTCAATTTTCGCCCGATCTCTCTTCCTAACCAATCAAACTTGTTGATTCTCTAGGGATTGGCTGAGAAGGCCCCGATCTACACTTCCACCAAGAGAAATTTGACTCCTCCCACTAATCCCTTGTGGATCTTGTTATTCTTGGGTGTTTGAGCACCCTAGACGGTTGAGGTCACCTCGGAGCCATAGTACATTATGGTGAAGCTTCGTGGTGTCGTTGGGAGCCTCCAATTCAGTTGTGGAGATTACCCCAACCTTGTTTGTAAAGGTTCGGTCGCCGCCTTCAAGGGCACCAATAGTGGAATCACGACATCTCGCATTGTGTGAGGGTGTGAGGAGAATACGGTGGCCCTAGTTGCTTCTTGGGGAGCATTGTGCCTCCACACCGCTCTAACGAAGACGTACTTCCCCTCGAAAGGAAGGAACTTCGGTAACACATCCTCGTCTCCATCGGTTCCACTTTTGGTTATCTTTCACCTTTACTTGTGCAAGCTATATTGTGTTATTTCTGTTGCTTGCTTGTGTGCATTTTGTTGTTGCATCATATAGGTTGCTCACCTAGTTGCATATCTAGACAACCTACTTTGATGCAAAATTTAATTTGGTAAAGAACAACTAAAAATTGTTAGTTGCCTATTCATCCCCCCCTAGTCAACTATATCGATCCTTTCAATTGGTATCAGGGCCTCGTCTCTTTATTAAGGATTTTGTGAAAGTGCGTTATATCGACTAGAGGGGGGTGAATAGGCGATTTTTATGAATTCTTCACTGAGGAATTTGCTGGTGAGGAAATTCCTAAATGAAGAACTACTTGCAGCGGAATAAGTACTCAGAAAGGAACATAACAGAACAAAAGCATAGTCATCATGATGAAATGAAGACAAGCACAGAGTACAGAAAGCGTAAACACAGGATAATACAAGGAAGAAGACGGACAGACTAAAGAAATAGAACTGAGGAAATTGAGAAAGTCTTCAGTCAATGTCTTCAAACAGATATGAATAGGCACACAACAACATACATGAGGAATTTAAAGAGTTGAGGAAATAGAACCAGTAAGCTCGGTGAAGACAATGATTTGGTAGACCAGTTCCAACTGCTGTCTCAGTTATACATCTGGTTGGAGTGGCTGAGTATTTAAACTCGAGGACACCCAGTCCCGGACACACAGTCCTCACCGTATTCTCCTTGAGCTAAAGTCACACAGACCTCTCCCAATCACTCGTGGTAAGTCTTCAGGTGACTTCCGAACCTTCACAAACTCGGTCACTCGGCGATCCACAATTTCTCTTGGATGCTCTAGACCTTGACGCCTAACCGTCTGGAAGAAGCACAGTCTTCAAAGGAAACAAGCATCGGATCCACCCAGGATCAATCTCTTCAGTGATGCTCAATCACTTGGGGTTTTGTAGGTTTGGGTTTGGGATTTCCTCACTTGATGATTTTCACTCAAAGTCTTCGGAGGATGGGTTACTCTCAAATGACAAGTGTCAGTTTCTCTCGGAGCAACCAACCAACTAGTGGTTGTAGGGGGCGGCTATTTATAGCCGGGGAGCAACCCGACATGATAAGACATAAATGCCCTTGTCTGGTATGACCGTTAGGTGGGTAGATATTTTGGGACAGCTGGCGCGTAGCACAACAACGGTCGGAATATTTGGGGTTCGAATTCCTCAGGGCTATCATGTTCCTCACTTGGTAGGCAATCCGCACTGGCGAATTCCTAACTCTTCAGTCAGAACAAATTCCTCAGAGACCAGAAGAACTTCATCTCTGTCACTGAAGAATATGACTGAACTGTGCGAGATTTCTAATGGCTTCACTCGAAGGGATTGGTAGGTGTAGGATTTTGAGTTGAGCATCACATGGAAATTTTTTCCTTAGTATTTCCTCGACCCCCTTTAACAGTACAGTATTTCCTATGACTCAAGAAAGAGAAAATGAAACCATGAAAAAAAAGTCTTCACGCTTCATGTTCCTCGAATGATTACCAAGTCTTCAAGGTCACACCCATTTCTTCACTTTCAAAGTCTTCAGAAATCCAAAGTCTTCAGTCGAAGAACTTCATTTTTAGGGGCCGACTTTCTCTGTAAATATCAAACTCCTCATAGACTTATAGACCTGTGTACACTCACAAACGCATCAGTCCCTTAACCTATAAGTCTTCAATACACCAAAATCACTAAGGGGCACTAGATGCACTTACAATCTCCCCCTTTTTGGTGATTGTTGACAATATAGGTTAAGTTTTCAGCGGGGATAATCGTATGAAGTGTAAATACTGATATTGAGGAATTTGATTGCAAGATATAGAAGAACTCCCCGTGAAGATGTGCAACGTGAGGAATTTGCTTTTGAAGCAAAGCACACTTGAAGAGT